GGGGAGGTCCACTTCCCCTTCCATCTGATCCTGGCTAATCAGGTCTCATCAAGAATGGCTACATTGTCCTCCTCTGTGGCCTAGCAAGGCTGCTCCTCACTCAGGAGTGGAGTGAGGGGTGTCAAAGAAACAGCCAGTCAGTCCATTCAGAGACAGTCCCTCTTCCCCTTACTAGGTAACCCATTTGGATACTGAGTTTCCATGGGCCAAATCTGTGTAGGGTTCTAGGTTATAGCCATGAATGGACCTTGGTTGGGGTATCAGACTCAAAAAATACCCCTGAGCCCAGATATTTTGGTTCTTTTGTTTACCTTGTAGAGCTCCTGTACTCTCCAGGTCTTACTAACTATCTCTTCTTTCATATGATTCCCTGCACTCTGCCCAAAGTTTGGTTATGAGTCTCAGCATCTGTTTTGATATATTGCTAGGTAGAGTCTTTCAGAGGCCCTCAGTGGTAGGCTCCTGTCCTGTTTCTTGTTTGTTTGTTTGTTTGTTTTCCTTCTTCTGATGTCCATTCCATTTGTCTTTCTAAGTGAGGATTGATCCAATTACCCCGATCCTCCTTCTTGTTTAACTTCTTTAGGTGTACAGATTTTAGTATGTTTATCCTATCTTATAGGTCTAGTATCCACATATAAGTGAGTATATTTCCTTGTTTTTAATTGCTGGTTAGTATTCCATAGTGTAAATGTACCACAATTTCTGTATCCATTTGTCCATTGATGGACACCTGGGTTGTTTCCAGGTTCTGACTATTACAAATAAAGCTGCTACAAACATGGTTGAACAAATATCATTGTTTTGGACTTGATCAACTTTTAGATAAATGCCTAGGAGTGCTATAGCTGGATCTTGTGGAAGTGCTTTTTCTAAGTGTCTGAAAAAGCACCTCATGTGTTGTGACTTGAGTTTTTTAACTTAGCCATTCTGATAGGTGCATAGTGAAAAATCAAGGTTGTTTTGATTTGCATCTCCCTGATGACTAAAGACGTTGAGCATTTCTTTAAGTGTATTTATGCCATTCAATATTCCTCTGTTGAGAATTTTCTATTTAGCTCTGTACAGCATTTTTTAATTGGATTACTTGATTTGTTATTTTTTAACTTCTTTAATTCTTTATATATACTGGATATTAGCCCTCTGTCAGCTATAGTTTTGGAGAAGATCCTTTCCCAGTCTGTAGGATGTCGTTTTATTCTGAAGGCAGAACCTTTTGCTTTACAGAAGCTTTTCAGTTTCATGAGGTCACATTTATTGATTGTTGCTCTTAAATGACATTTGTTAGCATATTGTTTACATAGCTGTCATGGGTTTCCAATTCATAAATATTAAATTTATTCATAAAGATCAGATAAAAGCCTGGAAGATAGAGTCTATCAATACACAGTCATACTTCTTTAGTATAGAGTGAGGTTTCCAGGTCTCTATATTGGAGAGCAGATTGGGAGAATTCAGAGTGGTATGTGACTCATGAGGAAGAGGCAGAGGTCGATATGTAGCTTAGAAACAAAATTATTACATTTACCATCTCATTTACAAATCTTCTATTTTAAACATGAATATTTAAACATGAATTCACCTATAGTGGATATATAGAATGGGAAGTAGGTGAGGGAAAGAAACTTGTAGTAAATGAAATATGGAAAAGAGAGAAAAAGGAGGGTAAAGGGTGTGTGTTTTTTCTCTATTGAAGTTTGTCCCTCAGATGATTTTAGTTTGTGTCTATTTGTCATAAAATCTCATCAGTATCTGGTATAAATACGATTATATAACATTATCGTGAAAGTAGATTGCTTTTATAGAATACAACTTTATGTATAATGTGTATATTCCAATACAGTTAATTTTTCAACAACGACAGGATAAGGAGCAGTGTGGTTAGGAAGGTGTTCTCTGAGTCTCTGCTGCTGCCCATGTGTTTTCTGTTCATACGCAGAACACATGGAGACTGTGGAATTTAGACAGGTGAATGTGTTTAGCTTCTTGTTTTCTTATTCAGTGTCTCCTAGATATTTGACGTATTCCTGCCTTGCTCAAGTGTTTATTTATGCAACAGAATTCCTCATGATTCCTGTAAGTACTTTCATTTCTACTAGATAACTAGGACAGAAAGTAATTTTATACATAGGTAATATCAGATATTTAATAAAGAAAAATAAGGCCATTACTGAAATTTAAAATTATCCATTTAAAAAATATAGCTGACTAATATAAAAAGAAAAATTTTAATTATTTTTAAAATATTTATTCTGCTCATGAACACAGCCATAAAAATGAGAATATTTTTTGTCAAACCACCCTTACAATCATGCTACCAAGATAGGAAAAAGTAGTGGAAAATATTCATTTAATCTTCACTCAAAGTAGTATCTCCCATAAAAGATTAAAGGACACATTGGCCCTTGAGTGCTCTCCTAGACTTTCAATTCTATTTGACTAGTGCAATACTGGCTAACTGACCATTGTACTGATAGGAGAGTGATTACTAGGCTATGTAGAGAAAAAAATCAATGTTTTAGACACTGGCTGTCAGGCTGAGCTCTAAAGATGTCTGTATTACAAGCTAATGCACTGAGGAGGAGGTTGGAACTACCCTCATGGTAATAACCTGTCACATCTTCAGTCTGAATGCTCATGATGATGAAAGTGAACTCTGTCCTAGATCCGGGAGCAGTCAAGATGCCGGGAGTTACTCAGGTGTAAGAAGGAGAAGCTTTTCTCTGCTTTTGCTGGAATCAGGCTAAATAGTTGGTTCTAAGAGCTGTGCAGATACCACTAATCTTGTAGCTGGTGGTGACCCTCTATGCTGTAGA